CGTCAAATCAGGCAACTTTTATTTTATGCTTATTTCCCAAATCTGGTGTAAAAAATCCTAATTTTTGGTCGATAACAGATGCTGAAAAGAGATTTAAGTCAGTAAATTCTTTCTCCAACGAATTTATCAAGTAAACGTGTAATTGTTTCGAAAGTCTTCTGTAATGTACCTCTAATAACCAAAAGTGTAAGCATTTTTATTGTAAGGGAATTCGTGCTTTCATTCCTGATTTTGTTTGTATGTTTTTTTTAACCGATACAGAATATAATTAAGATTTACTAAGGGCAGAAAATTAAGTAAACTGTCAAGCTGCTACTGGCATTCATGTTAACCGACAATAGTTCTCTGGGATTATTACCTTTCTTTGCATATATAATGAGCATTTTTTGACAGTACTGCAAAGTTAAAATCCGTAGCAAAACCTAATACAACTTACAAGTATTTCATATTAGAATAATCAATAACAATGCACACAATCCTTTCTCATAAAAATGGTTAATAGATTTGATAACAGCATCACTGATCAAGTCATAATAGTAAACTTATTTCCTATTGTACATTGTTAATTTAAATGTCGTTTATAAATAACCAGTGCTTTCTTTTGAAAAGAATAGAGTACCTAACAAATGTAATTTACAGTGGGCGTATTACAACACTGATCAGCTGGACTGACTGAATTACACTCCGTTAGATAACAAAATGTTACGAGCTTGGTGCTTTATCAGATAAAAATAAAAATGTGAAAGTATTTTATATATCTGTTGAAAGCTTAATGTTACTAAATTACGGCGATGAAAGATTAAGAACGCAGTTTATTGAGTCAAGGTTGTGCTTTTCTTGGAGCTTATTTTAGAGATAAAATTGCGAATAATGCATAGAAAAGTTAAATATATATATTTTTTAAGATTTCATATTAAGCAAAATTCACTTCAAAATGTGAATTAAGTAAGTGTGCTTGAAGACAATAAGCGGCTCAAAATCTAGGAGCAAAAGAAAATTTCAGTTTGGGTGCAAATGTATAGGCTTAGCAATGATAAATGCAGTCTCATCTTTAAGATATCTTAATAACTCTGCGTGATGCGCATAGTTTAATTTATATTAGGTGTGTAGTATTCCAAGTACATAATTAATTTTACTAGTAATTAAGTTAATGCCTATCTAAATACATATGACTATGTTCGGAGCATTAAGAAGATCAAGTTTCTGGGCGTTCAGCGTGTCTTTTATCAAGCAGTATAGACAAACGTAAGAGCTGGAGACTTATCAAACTCAAATTTAGTGTCAATGACGGTCTTCTCTTTTCAGTTCATTGTCTATTTATTTGATGAACAGCAGTTCTAGTTATGACTCAGAATATTTAGGTAACTTCAAAGTCGAAAATTAAAGTCACATAATTTTATAATAGGTTTTCACAAGAAAAGTAAAAATTAACAGATATCAGATTCTTAGAATTTTCTAAAGTTAAACAGTAAACGACTAAAGTTAAACAGTAAACGACTAAAGTTAAAAAGTAAACGACTAAAGTTAAACAGTAAACGACTAAAGTTTAGAATAGCAATTGAATCTTATCGTAACGCATAATTTACACGCGATAAAATTAAAATCATGTTGAGATGATTAAGAATGAACAATGAAACTTCATTGAAACGACAGCCTACAATTCCAGATATTTTGATCTTCTGACGAAGAAGTAGACTTAGGGAACACCGTTTCTTCTCAGAAATACAAGTCACTTTCGGAGATGGGCGTCGTAAAGAAGAGTAGTTGAGTAACATCTATAACAAAGAAAATTGCAAGATATATGTTTAATCCATTATCTTATTATTTTAACTATACCAGGGTTTCTCAACCGGTGGTACGCAAAGAAGCAAAGTATTTTTAACTATTATATTCAAAAATTAAAAATCCAACATCCTGATTGAGTTTATCTCTAACACTCGTAAATTTATGCGATCTGAGCTTTGTTCAAAAGTGGTGGTGGTAATAGTGTACTGTAGTGGTGGTACTAAAGGCTTTTCAATTTTTGTTTAAATGGTACTCGTTAGTCAAAAGGTTGAGAACCGCTGATCTATACTGTCACTTTACCTTTCATCAGCTTCCACCAGGTTGCAAATTAACTGCGTATATGTAAGAACTGAGTTCTTGAAAATTCGAGAGAGAGAGAGAGAGAGAGAGAGAGAGATAGAGAGCTTTGGCAGCGGCGCTGACTTTTGCAATATTTCCACGCACAACGTTGAGAATTAATTTAGACCGGCGTTAGCAGTTTGCTAGCTGAGTTGCTCGTGCTTGTAATATGATATCCCAAACTTTACTAGGAATTGTGAATTTTCATGAGTTAATTACCTTACATTTACTTTACTTGTTAAACTCAAATCCCACAAGTAGAGGAGAATGTGTTATGAGCACGAGCTGTAAACTGTTAAGCTTAAAGGTTAATAAAAAGTTTTTTTTAAACCTTCTTTTGATTTGGAAATTGTTTTAATAGACGGGACGATATGTTGCTCTGCATTCTCACAAAGAATAGATTACTTAAGTAAGTTGTGGTTCCCTTTAAAATCAACAACCTTTTATGAAAACAAGGAGACACACGTAACATTTCCCACTTCAGAAGAAGGTATACGGCGAGTTATCCAGCTCTATGTTTAAAAGCAATATGACAATGAATTTTCCACAATTCTGATGTTTGAGAATTCCATGTTTTTCTAAGTTCAGTATGTCTTATTTATTTTGTGCGTATTTTATTCAGCTGTATATCTCTTAATGACACACCAACATCTGTATTTTGATGTGTCATTTCTATTACTTGAGAGAAAAGTACAGGAAAACTTGCATATATGATAGTATTTATACGTAGATTTCTTGATTGGGGTAATTAAATTAGTATACAATGCGCTGCAGGGAAATTAATTAGAATATGAAAGGCTTCTTATGTTCTTTTCAATATTACAACAAACGTTTCTAGAAAATGAAGGCAGTTAAATTACCTCTGCTGTTTATCTCACAATGAAAACTCATCTGAGCTTGACACATTCTGAATGTAATTAAAATGAATGCTTCGAAAATTCTTAATCTGTTGAACAGTGTAACAGTTAGGAGAGATTGATTTCAGAAATTTGGAAGAAAATTTATTTAATTTATTTTTCATTTAACTTCCATAAGAATTGTATATAGAGGTTTTGAAGAAGGTGACTGTAGGCTTTATTTTCTTAAAATTTACCTTAGAAGCGTTCTTTTATTTGCAAATTATATCAAAATTAGATAAAGAGTTTTATAAAAGTTATTTTCACTTTCGTTGGGGGGAACGTTTAAGTGTAAAGTTGAATTTTTTTATGGTCCTCTTACTTCAAAAATGCCAATTATGAAAATATACTTAAATATAAAAAACCGCTATACATTTACAAGAAAATCTGCAAAAATATCCCAGAATGAATTGAATTACATTTATTTGTAATATTTATTACCAAATTTTAAGATTTTTCAAACAAATTTATGGAGTAACTATAAAGTAAACATCGTTCAATTTGGTGAATAACGTAGTCGTTTTTAAAAATTTGTAATGAGCTACAGAAAATATTAACTACCATATTAAAAATATCTCTTGAATTTTGCTTGTAAATGTATGGAAACTTGTATATTTAACTATGTATATTTATTAAAGCACAATCAGTATTTTACCAAATGGAATTCTTGCTAAATGGGAATATTTTATTTATTATATTTTAATTTTTCGGGACTACCCTTCAACGCTGAAACTTTCTTAAAATTCTCTATCTTATTTTAAGAAATTTTGTAATTGGAAATACAAAGTCAAGGCTTAATGTTTATGGAAAGAAGCCTGGAGCCGGCTTTTTCGAACACCCTGAGAAAACATAAAAATTACAATAATTTCCTACTAAGATATTCTGTCACGAAGAACGTTTTCCACAATTTTAAAGTCACATAACTTTTATTTCTACCAGTTACGATTAAATAATTAAAAAAAATAGTCTCGAATGCAACATATGTAGATGGAGAAATATATTTCAGTATGTTACATTAGAAAATGCCATTTTAAGTACTTTAATGTAAAAAAATTCTAATTATGTAGGTTTACTTTAACGGAAAAATAATATACATAAATTAGTCTTCTTTCCATGCGTATAAGTTGTGGAAAGAAGTTAGTGATTACCTCTGTCATCTAAAGAAAAATCTTTAAATATATATAATATATCAACAGGATAAGAGCAATAAAAATAACAACAAGTTTCTTTAGAACAAAATTCAAGTAGGATCTGTAGTATATGAAATTGCTTTTAGCACACATAAACAGAAAATTACGAATGCTCATAACGTTGTCAGTTGCAGTGTTTGTGGTATATAAAAGCAATGAAAATTTTCTGTTGTTAAAATAGAAGTGCTTAAAATGACAATATATCACTTTCATAGAATACAGAAGTAAAATTTTACATGTGCATACATAAATTTTTACGTTAAGTGTTATTAATCAGATTAAAACTGATAATGGTTTTAAAGTTATCGAAAGAATCCTTACAGTGATAGGATACTCTAATACCTACCATGTTCAATATCTGCTAATTCATAGTTATAGGAGTCTACATTTACTGCAACAAATAAGCCTTCAGAATAATAGATGATAATAAAGTTAAAAAAATTACATCGTATACATCATCATTATATTTTCTCTTCATCATCAACACCGAACCTACTCAACAAACGTAGTGTTCACATTTCCGCAGCTCACTCTTTTCCCTTCCCTTTGTGATATACCCTTTCAAATTAATATTCAGGGTTTTTATTTTGTCGGTGTTAGTTTTATCAGAAAATATATAAAAGAAACGAGATGTAAGGAAGAAAGAGAAAAGTTCAATTTCATTGTATAAACAACAAAGTACCTATAAAGCACTGAAGTGGTAGATGTAATGTTTGCTCAGTTTCTAAAGATCTAATAAATCAGCTGGAAAAAGTATCTCCGCCGGCGGAAGAGAAGTTTATCTGTCCAATCAACAGACTTTCTGCTGAATGAACTAAAGAATACTTTGTAGCAATCGAAAGTATGCAGCACACCTCCCGGATTGTGATGGCGGATTGGTCTGCAACAAGTTATTTGCTTTTCTTCTTCCTTCCGTTAAGGTAGGTGCGTTCGTAATTTAAATGATTTATGATGCTTCACCTTTACGTTTGCAGATGGGTTTCAGCGCCTTTTAATATCTGCAGTCATTATTGTTTATTAAATTTAAATGACAACCTTAACTTGCAGTTTCACGGATGCTGTCCTCGTATTGTTGCAGCTTACTGCCAACTTACTTTACTCATGGAAAACACACTCAGAGCTGACTCGAAACATACTGCTTTACTTGAAGTAGTATGAAATTTATTTCACAGTAATTTAAGTGCTATTTAATTGGGTCATTTTAAGGTAAATGAAGAATATTTGTATGCTCGCGACTTTTGATGCAGTGTTACTGTAGCCTTTTTTCTTTATACTGTAGGGTTTATATTTATTTTAACTAACATTTATTTTAAGTTTAAACTATCTTTCCTGTCAATCCTTACTTTCCCCTGGAACTGCCAATGCCAGAATTAGAATATGTAAATTTGAGTAGAACGCGCAAGCATTCAAATTATCAGCGGAAGTAGTTATGAATTTAAATAGAAGGAAAACAAGTTCGGTGAGAGAGAGTTATTCTTACTTAGCGAGCGCGGAGGTAGTTATAGAGATTTGAAAAACCCCGCGTTGCGGCCTATGTGCTTGGCGGGAAGTAGTTGCAATTGTTCCAGTGAGCTTCAAGTCTGCTGAATTAGCAGCCGTATTGTAAAAACGCGGTTGAGTTAGTTATTTGAGAGAGCCTCGTAGTTAGAATATTGTCTTTAATTTCTTTTCAGGTTTTTATTTTTATTTTGACTGCCGAGTTGGCACCGTTTGTAAGCGTCAAGAGAACGCAATTGTAAATTAGTACGTTGAATAAAAAGGGACTTAAACCCTTTATAAGACTCTGTGGTTTATACAAGCTTTCACAGTCACCTCTTGGTTGCGTGCTAGTTAGAGGCGCGCAACGTTATAATACATCGCAGCTTCCAGCATCAAAATTTTATTCCACGTTAGTGACATTTACTTTAAAGGCACACAAAAATATTGTTGCACAATTAATCACGAAGAAGCGTGTTAAAAAGTGTCTAGTCTTTAATTTACCTCACGTGCAATATCATAAAACATTTCGCATTTTCATTCTGTAATTAATGCGAATTGAAATGTTATGCAGTTTCGTGCAATGAAGATAAAAGTGAGATTTGTATCCAGTTTAACGCTTTTTTTTTTAATTTTGTACAGTTAGAAGCATGATGACTTAATTATTCTCTCATCATATTGATGCTGTTTTTCATTTACATGAACCTTGCTTTTTTTCATTTTTCATGTTATAAATCGATGTTTCACAGTTGGATTCTTGAAAGCATACGCTGTGATTTGAACAAAGTACTTTTAGTAGTTTTTTTAAATATAAATGTTTATCATCCTAATAAAGAGTTTTCAGTAATTTGTTCAGTCTGTTAAAATAATTCAATCATTAATTTTCAGCACTAAATGAGCTGAAATTAACAGGCAACATAAAATATTATTAATTAACGACCAACAAGTTAGTTGATCGTTAATTAATAATATTTTGTTATTAAAAAAGCATAAAAATGCATGCATTATTTTATTTCTGCAAACAGAGTCTGTTACATGAAATTCAGTTTTTGACACTTGACTTTCTGAAAAGTGTAACAGAAATAAGAGCCTGTGATCTTAGAAGAAAAGTGATGCAATTTTATTTGAAATTAATGATATATAATCAAGAAATATAAACAAATAATGTTATTTAACTTTTCAAGAAATATCATTCTATTTTACTTCAAAAATGATGAAAAATATGCTTCAAAGTTTACAGGTGTATATAATTTGAAGCTACTCAGAAATGTTTGTATTTTTGTAATTGGATTTATTTTAAGGTAATGATTTTGGTTAGAGTGTGAAAAAGCTGATAGGAACGCCTCTCATGAAAAATGTGTTAACTGGCAGAAATGTGTGACATTTATTGAATTATACTGAAATATATTTTATAATATTTAGCCTGATCGTTAAAGAGAGCTTGTTAAATTTTATGAATAGAATTAAAATCATACAGTCGTGTAATGTAGTTTATGATGCTACTTTTGTAAACTGTGGCTAAAATTCTGGCCTATTTTTCCATTTCTTTGCCATATTTTCAATAAAGAGGGAAAATAAGTTTCGGATAAAATTCGGATTTTCCACAAAACTACCAAAATTATTTGACAAATGATGTCATCCGACATTTTAATATAGTCACAGTACTTTTTTTCTCTTTTTGAATTATTAGTGTTTGCACATTGTTTCACTGAGTCTTTACAATAAATGTAACGTTTTATTGCATTTTAAAGAACAATATATAAGAGAGGGGACGAATAAATAGGATTTTATTGCTTTATATGAAACTATGATAATTATATCTGACACGTTAGTGAATATATTATTATATATAATTTAGATTTTGTATTGCGCGCCATCAACACTAATCACCTAATGTTTCAAAATACTGTTAATTAAATGGGGAATTCTATAAAGAGGATTTTAGAGCCGCAGCTTTAAACATTATGCTTTGTAATTTCCTTCTATACAGTGGAAAAAAAATGCAAAGGTTTCTTTTTCCGAGACAGTAAACTTGGTAGTTTGAGAAAAAATATGGGAACTGAGATACCATTCTTTTCAAATACACTTTGTCACAAAACTCGTCTGTAGTGTAATATATCGTATGTGTAACAAAATAGAAGAGAACAGAATTGATTTCAGTGTATTAATTACTTAATTAATCGCTTCAAATCTTTTATTTGTAGGTTTTTATTTAATGTTTATTTTTATTTGATGCATTTAGTTTTTTATTTAATGTTTTAAAAACTAGAAAACTTTAATGAAAGTTCAACTGAAACTCCTTATTAAAGTTGCAGTAGCAATGGAAATGCATAAGAGTAAAAATATTCGTTGTAAATATTCGGGTCATGCAGAGTTATTAACGGTAACAATAAATAAATCTAGCAAATCTTATTGGAGCTAACACCTTAAGGCTTAAAATTGTCGAGATGACGATTCACAATATAAAATATAACGATTCAAATTTATTATAAAAGGTCTTATTACTTCATTGAAAGGGCTTGCTGGAAATGTATATCATATTATGGGAAAAATACATATATTTGCTTAAGAAGAGGGATTTATAAGAGAAATTAGAGTTTAAGTTAAAAGTGGGGAAATCCATGAAAATCCATCTATTCAGCCCCTATGAACATCTGGAATCGATTTCCAACACAAACTAGTTATGTTCGGATGCAATCTCTGGATCTCGGAGGACAAAAGGTATTCGCCCAAAAAAGAATACAAACAAATATCCTTCTCTGCCTAATGAACATTGTTACCTTAGATTTTCTAGACTTAATTTTTCAATTTTTGTTTTAAATTTCCTTCCGGATGTGCATTCCAGATTGAGCTGCAATCAGGCGATTTTTCTCTGTATACAGTTCATCTACGAGTATATAGTTTATGTTTTTTTGTTAGCAATGTAGAATGAAAATGACAAAAGCGGCAGATTGGTATGAGCCAGTTTTCTGACTTCATTTGAATTTAAAACAATATCTGCTTTTCAATATAAAAAGTTCAAAAGAAATTTGCCACTCTATTGGAACTATTTAAATTAACGGAAACTGCAGTATCGCTATTCAATATTTTTTGTAAATTCCTGAATTTTCTAGTATGCTGTTATGAAAACGTTTAATTTTAATGTCGTATCTTCTTGAAAGAAATATTAAAAATTAAAATTCACCATCCAATACCTTTTGTATTTCTATTCTTTTAATGGATACGTGCATATACTTTGAGTTTTGTTTTATCCTGGAAAATATAATATATAACCGTTCTCGCCTGAATGCAGATTGCCGTAAGAATACCCCGTATTTTGCTGTGTCTGGCTCTGAGCTTTATTTACAATTGTTGTAAAGGCAACTTTTATGGAAATTGTTTTCTACAAAACGTGAGTAATACAATAGGGTCTAAAGGAATCAAAAGACATTTCCAGGATGTACCCAAGTCTATAAATTTAGCAGTGATAGTATACTGTTTTATTTTGGACATGACTATTCTTTCTCCGCTTGTTGCGCCTTCTTCAGAATTTAGATAATAGAAGAACATCGTTTCGAATAAAGGGATATTTTCGCAGCATGCATAAATATGGTTTTAAGTTTAATTGATGAATTATGTTTAAGATACAATAACACACCGAGCAAGTATTAATTTAGAAGTCAAACAACAAAAATCAGCGTTATCTTTTCGAATTTGCACAGTGAAATTTGAAAATATAACGCTTATTTTTGTTGTTTGACTTCTGAATTAAACTATGCTTTGTAAAACATTACTAACTTTCAATAAATTATATTGCACGTTGCATAGCATTACTTATTGTAATACTAAATATAGTAATACAAATTATGCAGCGCATTTTATATGCATATATTATACAGGATAATTTTGAAATTCAGGCATAGTTATAAAACCAAAGAAAAATGAGGAAAATACTCTCTAACTACTGCTAGCCACGATTCCATACCAATATAATCAATTAAAAAAAATCAAATAAAAAATCATAACAGTTTCTTGATCAAATAAGATTAAAACTAAAGCTTGCATCATTTAATAGCTAAATACTTACATTTTATTTCTACGCTCCAGTATCCACACAGATTACTACCCTCTAACAGTTGTATGTGTCAAATAAATAAATTCAAAAATAATCAGTTTCCGTCAAACAAATTTCAGCTTTCTTCTTCGAGAGAGAGACTTTACCTTTAGACAGAATTTCTTTGAGGAAGAAGAAATTTTCGGTATAAAAAGAGCAAGAAGAATAGAGAACAAAAGTATTTAACTTAATCTTGAAAAGACACTGTAGTGACTGAAGCGGAAAGTGCTGGGCACGGATTCACTGGATCAAGAAGCATACCGGTAGGACAGACGGCGCTCTGGATATGAAGTTTGTAGGACGTAAAACTAGAGAAAATCCGATCGTCAAAACAGCCTTCCTCTATTATTA